AATTGGGGTTTTACTAGAAGCAGATCCTGTCTGAAAAATACACTGTTGATTTCACAGAGTTAGAAAAGGCTTAACTGAAAAGTAAAATTCCTGAAAAGAAAATTGGGGTTTTTTTACCCCAGACCAGGACAGGGTCATCAGTAGCTTTCCCTTGCGCTGTGTGTGAGGGCAGACCAAGGCTTGGGTCACCACTGCACCCACAGTTTGCATCTATATGCAAACACTGTTCAGGTGCCCCAGGCCGATGTCACGCATCTTCTACCCATCTTTGTAGAGCCATCGTGGCCAGAGGCACCAGCCAGCGAGGGCACGGTCCTGCTGGGTAGACGCACTGTGGGAGGAGCAGCCCCAGCAGCTCTGGGGACCGGGCAAGCCCAGCAGGGCTGTCACCTCCTGTGGGGTGTGACAGAGCAGCTCCGGTCCGGTACCGTGCCATCACTGTGGAATCTCCCCACGGTAGGAAGAAACCCCAGGGAGGACCCAGCCTTGCAGCCAGGCTGACCACATCAGCCAGCACCCACCTCCGGAGGCAGCTGGAGACAGGCTTGCTCTGATTAATGGAGGCGGCTTGGATTAACTCCTTTTTAGGAATGTTTAAATACGAATCTCTTTTCCTGGAGGCAGCTGAAGTTAGCCAGAGCTCACGCAGAACATGTGTCTGCACCTGCTGCTTTCTGCCTGGAGCCAGGCCATGGACATGGAGAAACACTGGGAAAATCCTGTTCATACTCCCACAGCCTCGGAGCGCGTGGAGGAGGCAGCCACGTTCCTGGTACAGGAACACCCCGAGAACCCTGGCCATAGTGCTCCAGGCTTGGGGAAAGCAGTTCATTATCACCATCTGGATGTGGCCTTGAGCAACCTGCTCTAGTGGGAGGTGTCCCTGCCCAGGGCAGGGGGGTTGAAACTCGATGATCTTTGAGGTCCCTTCCAACCCGAACCATTCTGTGATTCTATGATCTGTCTAGAAGAAAAACGCCCCAACTCAAGTGTAGCAGCAAATTGAGGGCCACCTTTCAGCCCTTTCTCAGGAACCACTAGGGACCTTCCTGCAACTGGAAGATGGAGATCCTGGCCGGGAGGTTGTCCATGATGACACTCCTACAGGCAACCGGGCCCACGGGCATGACGTGGAGCAGGGACACTGCCCCAGCCCCAGAGGCTGCTGGTGAAGTGACAAAGCCCTGCAGCCAAGCAGGGACTTGGGCAACACTCACAGATGCCAGAGGAGCCACCAAAGGCACCGTGTGTGTCAGTGCTGAGCCCAGCAGGGAGGAGTTTGTTATTTCTATATCTTGGGAGTCTGTGCTTTGTCCAGGCACCAGGGCTCCTGCACGCAGCGTCTGATGTGAGCACCCACAGGCACAGCCCCCCAGGGCCACCCGCTGCCAGTTGACATGGTAGGGACAAGCACGTGCCTTGTGGTCCCTGGGGCTGGGTGGGAGGGAGCACCTTCATCCCACGCAGGGGCACAAGGCACGGTGGTGGGTTATCAGCCAGGCACCACGCACAGCTCAGGGGGGGCATCTCCAAGACCAGCATGGAAAAGAGATGACATTGGGATGGAACACGGGTGGGAGAGCCAGGGGTGGGTCTGCAGCAGCACACTGGAGTGCACACCCATCCCTGGGTACACCTTGGGTGACACCTTCGCCAGGCAGGTTGCTGACGTGCTGCATCACCCCACGCTGCTCTCCTGCCCGGGCAGCCCCAGCAATTTGTCCTGCAACCAAAAGCAAAACAGCTTCGGCAGGGAAGGGGGTGCAGGTCTTGGGAACAACATGTCCCCCAGCTGAGGGGGCTCTTCTGGTCCCATGGAGGAGTTCTGCCAACATAGGGCATGCCCTGGACACAGCTGGTACCAGAGGGAGGGATGTCACCTTCCACTCTAGCTTTAGGCATCCGTGGGGAAAAGGCAATTCGTGCCTTAGCCACAAGGTCCCCTTCAGGGTTCCTCACCAGCTGCACACTTGGCCTGATGGCCCTTCCTGGCCCCCCACACCAAGGTGCTCCCATATCAGGGGACAGCAAGGGCAGGGCTGCTCCCTCAGGGAGGAGGGAGCAAGTGGGACCCCAGGCCCAGCAAGGTACATCCCATGGTACCTGTATGGAAGACCAGTGCAGCTCCGAGATGGTGGCCAGATCCAACCAAGAGTCCAGAGCAACCCAAAAGTCCAGATCCAGCAACACCATGGTGATGAGATGGGTCCAATGTGAAGGCAGGAAAACAAGCCACAGATCAGGTCCAGGTCCAGCAATGGGCAGGCAGGGCTGTGGTGATGGGGCAAGATGAAATGTCAGGGTGCAAGCTGAGGTCTTGGATCAGCAGAGCCCATAATCCAGGCACAGGTGGAGCTGAACTGGGTACCAGCACCTCTCCAGCACAGCTCCCAGAGGGAATGATTGCCTGAGCTTAAATAGGATTCCTGAGCATGCTTAAAAATGCTCCACTGGGGTGTGAGGAGCTCTCAGGTGAGGCTCATGTGGGGATGACTAATATGTGCCGATCACATCCGGAGGTCCTGGGGTCCTCCAACCTGAGCCTGGCCCCAGGAAAACCTTCAGTACTGCCCAGGCCAACGTGATCACAATTTCCACCCTGTGCAGTATCACAGACACACACTATTTCATACTTACTTTTCCCCTCCTCTATCATTGCCAGGCTCTCGCGGGCAGTCAGGGCAGCTGCTCCCACATCCTCACTATCCACCCATTTGGAATCACCCTGCACTTTCCCCAGGGTAAATGCGAAAAGGGAATTTGACCCAAACACCTCTCTGGCTTTGGGATGCAGTTGCAGGGTGCAGAGTACCTGCTGGTGTCCACCACGAGCTGCCACCAGCCTGTGATGAGGAAAGGTTATCGCAGTTGTGCTTTAATTACTGAACATGCTGTGCTTTGCTCCGAGCCAAAGGCAGTGCCGTGCCCACAGCGCGACCGAAACTGCTCTCCATAAATTACTGCTCCAAGCACAACGGGAAGGGAGCTGATGCAGAACGAGGAACCCTTCCCAGTGCCACCAACTGCTACCCCCATAGCAGATCTATGGGGCAGCTCCCACACATCAGGCAGCCCCCATTCACCAGGAGGATCCAGAGGGGCTGGTTGAAGGCACAGGACAAAGGTGCAGCCACAGCAATTATCTTTTTATCCCTAGCAATATCTCCTACAAAGTCGTATTTCTAGATCTTTTGATTACAAAGAAGCTATTAAGAGTAAAGAAGGGCTGAAGAGATCCATCCTTTACAGCTGGATGAGGCATGGTACCCCCTGCAGTCCCCCTGCTCCGTCGGGTGTTGTACCCCATCCTGAGCGCACGGTGCATTCAGAAGCAAGAGCTGGCAACAGGGGGGTGACCTGTCCTGCTGACTTGGACCCATGGGACCCAGAGCTACTGGAATAAAACAAGCCCTTCACTGGGCAAAGAGAGCCACCAGTGCAGGGGAGACATGTGGGATGCTCTCAAAGTGAGGGAGTCGGGGCTGCCCACCAGCCCTTCAGTTCACAGCTCGGCTGTGCAGGGGAAGAGCAGGACGAGCAGTCCATCCAAATGCCCCAGCCCGGGGGGGTTCTCTCCATCCTTCAGTTTCAATCCCATCCCTCCAGCTCAACCAGCTTTTTCCCTGGAAAATGGAATTTGATAAGGAAATCCATGTCAGGCTAAGGAGGAAAAAGTCTATGGGGAAAGCACTTTAGTACACACTGCGCCTGTCCAGTAAAAGCTCTCCAGAAGAGCCTCGGGTCCCATGCCAGGAACATCCAAACCTCCAAGAGTAGTTTGGATAAGAGTGGGACCAAGGACAAGCCACCGTGCTCTCTGTTCTTTAATCCCCAAATTACAGCCTCGGACTCCTGCAGGATGAGGTGTTTCTCAAGCTGAGCTCATCAAACTGGACTTTTAACAGGCAACTCTGATATGGGCTTGGCCAGGTATGTGTGAGAGCAGTTATGGTGGATGAGCAATTCCTCGGAGAGGTTGTCCTGGTTCTCAGGCAGCATGAGACTGCTCCTGTGCCGAGCAGAGGTGGAGAACCTCAGCGGTGCTGGCACAGCCATTATGGGAGATGAAGAGGTTTAAGCTGTTCCTTTCCAGCTTCCTTTGCACCCAGCGCTGAGAAATGAGCCATCGGTCTCCTGGTGCTCAGCACTTTAGATCGCCCTCGTGCCAGCTCCGCTGCCTTGAAAGCATCTGGTAGGGCTGGTGGCTTTGCAGAAGATCTCCGGGCAGCTTGGGGACTGGGAATGGTATGGACAGATGTCTGAGCTGGGATTCTGGGGGAGGCTGGGGTTGGGGACAACCAGAAGAGCCATTTGAGCTGGGATCCAAGTGCTGGGGCAAGTTGGGACTGAGGACAACCTGGCCAGACATCCTTGTTTTCTGGCAGGAAAAATCTCTCCATGGCCTGGAGGTTCCTGTGCTCTCTGATGGAGGCCTCCAGAGGTACAAGCTGCATGGGAAGGGCTGCCATGTGTGCAGCACTGGCCAGATTGTCCTCTCCAGCACTGGCCAAGGTAGTAAAGTCTCACTGGGCTATGGAAACCAGCTCACCCATGTTGCTTTTTGGGGTGGTTTGGGTTGCACCTAGAGGGTGGTTTAGTTTTTATCCAGAGCCCTTCCCCTAAGCCAGGCAAGCTGCCCTTCCTGCTCCTGCCCGGCTGCCCTCACGGGCTGTTCTGCAGGAGAAAAACACTCCTCCAGTGGGTAATTTCAAGAGGAGAAACCCCAGACAGGCCTTCCAGCCCAGCACCATCTCAGCTGAGGACACACTTCCCCGGTCTCCAGCCCAGACCCCCGTGCAGTCAGAGGAGCAGTGAGGCACAGAGATTTTGGCACTGCTGCACTGGGTGGGTTTGGATCTGGCTAACCACAAGCACCCTGAGGAGCTGCACTGGGGTGCTCTGCACAAAAAAACAGGTAGCAAAGTTGTAGTCCCTGCTCCCAAACCAAAAAAGAAAGAGAAATTTGGGAAGAAACCCACATTTCAGTCAGATAAAGGAAATAAAGTACTTTGAATGGTTTTATTCAGGGTAGTTTGGATTTATTCCTGACAATAGCTCTGGAAGCAGGAGTTTGCAACGGAAGTCTTTGGAAACCAATAATTAGAAAGAGGCAAATCAAACAACCAGTGCAAACATCCACAGGATTAAGGATAAGGTAATTCACAGCAACTTGCGGAAGGGGATTAAGGCACAAAACCAAAATCTGAAAAGGCAACATCATAAATATCTGCTCAGTTTGCCTGCTCACAACAAGGACATGTGCTTTTCCTGAGGTGCTTCCAGGCAGCACGTTCTCCCTGGGGTCTTCATGGCAAAGAACCTCTTTCTTGGCCCCACAGGACGGGGAACAAGCCCAGGATTCCCACTGCTCTCAGCCCAGACAGCCCAAACTGTCTTTTCCAGTGTGTGTTGCTTAATATATGTCAGTTGCTATTTTGGGCCTTCTAGATAATGAGCGTGGTGAAGTGTACCCAGAAGCAAAAAGCAGAAGAGCTCCCGGGATAAGTTGCCACCACCAGACCTGAAACAATCCAGCGGTTATTTCTGCACCGACTGGCACAGCCCAGAGTCTTCAAGACGAGCCCAAACAGACTTGCAGGGCAGAAATCTCGCTGGAGGTGCCAAAGGTGAGCTCAGGTATGAGCTCAGAAGATCTCAGGAACGGGTCCAAAAAAGCAGTCTCTGGAGCACGCGGTCACGTAGGAGCTGGAGAGAGCAGAGCTCTGACTGCCCACGCATTTTGGGGATGAGGAGCCATAGATTCTATCAATTCTTCCAGGCATCCCACACAGCCTCTGCTCTGCACATCACCAGCCAGGACCAAGAAAACCAAGAGCTGAAGACTGTGAGCCCGGAGAAGGAGTGAGACACGGCTACCTGTACTGCAGGAATGGTAACCCAGTTACTATTTCCTCCTCCTGTTTGTATCCCACAGCGTCTGGTCTCATCTCACAACCCCTTAATGACAAAGTGTCCCAAATGAGTGTGTGAGGAAGAACAAAGCATCTCACAATTTACGGGAGGTCGCTTGGGCTTTGCTGCCCATGACCTATTCACAGAACATTAGGAACAAGTGAAGCATCTGGAGGAGAACAGAGACCATGTTGCAGAGGAGCCCGGGCTTCCGTCCCTCTACCTCGACCAGGACAGTCAGTGCAGGCCTGAGACAGGACACCTTGACCACAGTCTGCTGTGATGTACTCCTCCATAAACCCAGAACTGTGTGAATCCTGAGAGCAGGACTCGGTCTCTTCAGTAAATCATCACTATAGCAGGTTGACTTTGGCCACAACCTGCTTGCAGCCCGTCCTGGAGTACTGCTTGTCCCCTGTAGTGTAGTAACTGAGCTGACTCGCTAAACTTTCAATGTGCTTCTGGTCAGGATACAGCCCTTCCCTCCTCATCTCCTCTAGGAAGCAGTTTATGACGTGACTCTTCTCCAGAAGAACAAAAGGGACGACGTCTGCCGATTTCCAGAGGGGGTGGGCATCGATCAGTACAGGCTGGACGATGCTCAGCAGTTCTTCAACTCCCCTTTGCTGCTGCAAAAGCTCGGCGGATGCATTCTGGATGACAAACTTTGTTATTTCACCACCTCCTATGTTGCTTATTAAAATGTAGATGGCATTGAGGAACTCATTAGTCTGATTGGGTTCAAAGAATCGGCTGAGAGTATCCAGCAGGACTGGAGACATGAGTTCAACCTCATCCAGAATAAACAATGGTATCTTCTCTTCTATTTCAGCTCTTGTAACCATGTCAGAAATCTTCTGGGACAAATCTATTTCGCAAGTGAGAGGAGCCACCCCGTTGGGGCAGTGATGCATGACAAAGTACTGAAGCACAAAGTCATTGTCCATGACGGAACGAAAATGTTTGGCCAGCAGCCAGCCAACATGACTCTTCCCAACTCCTGTCGGGCCATTTAAAGAGATCACTAGAGGCTTGTTGTGTATGTGGGTAGCCAGATAGTCTTTCAGTAATTCCATAATACTTTCCACAGCAACCTTCTGCCCAAATACTTCCCGGTGCATTGTTTTCTCCAAACCATCCAGGTCGTATTTTTGGAGGTTGTCATCCAGGTTCTCTATTGCATTGAGAATTTGGAAGAAGATAATGACAATGAGCAAGAGGAGGCAGCGTTTTGCCTTGCTCTTCTCCTCCGCTGGAAGGTATCGTTTTGTTTTATCTGGATACAAGACTATTCTCGATTTCCTTCGATTCTTTTTCCGCTTGCATTTTTTCATGGCATACTGTTCTACAGACGTGTCAAAGGTGAAGTACTGGGAGGTTTCAAAGCTGCTCTGGTTAAGGAAGGACATGGAAGGGCCGTACAGGCCAGTTCGGCTGAGGGAAAGCTGCCTCTGAAGCAGCCTCGCGTGGGCAAGCTCTGGAGATTTTTCTCGAGGGAGCTCTAAATGCAGACGGCTTTTCTTTTGCACCCGGTATCGCCGTCGCAGGCGGATGATGGCCCGTAAGGGAGAAGAAATAGAAGACATTTTCTTGGAAGCAACAGGGATTTCAGTGTCTGGTACTTCTTCCCCATCACTCTCATCACAAGATGCTTCACCTTTCACATCACTCTTGGCACAGGGCATCTCCCCTTCCCCACTGTCAGTCACAAGATGCTTCACCTTTCACATCACTCTCGGCACAGGGCATCTCCCCTTCCCCACTGCTGTCAATGCTGGGCAGTTCTCCTTCCACGCTGCTCTCAGCACAAGGTGCCTCTTCTTTTGTGTCGGTCTCAGCACAAGGAATTTCTCCTTCTGCTTCGCTGTCAGCAGAGGAAGCTTCTCCTTCGGTATCGCTCTCCGCACGGGGCGTCTCTCCTCCCAGATCCTCCGGGGCAGAGGACACTTCTCCATCCACCTCAGCGCAGGGCAGCTCTCCGTCCATCTCGCCTGGTTCTTGCAGCCCATTCACATCATCCTCTTTCTTAAAAAAAAAAAAAAAAAAAACAAAGACAATATAAAATCAGTCTTTATAAGATCAGGAAGTGATCAATAACAGCCAAATTAGACAGATATCCCACTTTCTAACGGGTAGAACAATTACCTGTAGCAATCAGCAGCGCAAGGTGGAAGAGAGAGACTTTCAGACCTAAGCAAACTTTCTGGAAGACGCTCTGGACGTGCGAAACTACAGACGAATTCAGCATAAATAAGCCCAAATCGATGTATATCACAAAACCAACCCTACCTCCGCACTCAGAAGGAAAGCTTGGAGCTGGCTGGAGCCCAAGCCGGGGGCTCTGCTACGTTCTGGCATGAGCAGGAGGCAGGACACGGGGCAGACGCCGCGGCTCGAACCAGAGCTGCCCAGTCCTGTTCCCTCACATCTGCTAAATATAAGCAAGAGGCAAAACCACACCTCTGCAGCAGCACACACGCACACACCCCCAGAGGAACCAGTCACCCCTACACCCGCAGAGACCTTTCAGGGTGTGGAGTGTCCATGGCAGTACCTCTCTGTGGAAACTCTATTGCCACGCAGGTTGTGGTGGCACGGCATCTCCCTTGGGGGCAGGGGGTGGATTTTTCCTGGCTCTGCCAATGCCAGGCAGCTCCGTTCGCTGCTGCAGGGAGAGGAGGTGAGAGTGACTACCCGGCCAGCGCTCAGCCCTCGGTACCCAGCTCCCCGGGCTGCCCCGGGGGCTCAGCCAGGCTGCAGAGAACTGACATGGTTGTGACCGAGCCTGCCAACAGCACACAGCTCTGGGGAGAGGAGTGGGGCTGCCCCATGGCACCCCGACCCTCCAACCCCCATGGTCCTCTCTATCCCACGTGCCCACACACTCACATCCCTGGACCTACAATGGCCACTGTGTCCTTGTGTCCTTCCCAAGCTGGACCCTGGAGCTGCACAGGAGAGCATGGGGACATGAGCATCCCTTAGGGAAACCCATCTGCATCGGGAATGCGTGGACAGACCTTGGTTGGGGAACAAGAAGGAAGAGTAGAGGATGCACCCTGGCAGTGGGACACCATGACAAGAGGCATGGACTTGATGGGGAAGCCCCCAGCGCTCAGCCCTCGGTACCCAGCTCCCCGGGCTGCCCCGGGGGCTCAGCCAGGCTGCAGAGAACTGACATGGTTGTGACCGAGCCTGCCAACAGCACACAGCTCTGGGGAGAGGAGTGGGGCTGCCCCATGGCACCCCGACCCTCCAACCCCCATGGTCCTCTCTATCCCACGTGCCCACACACTCACATCCCTGGACCTACAATGGCCACTGTGTCCTTGTGTCCTTCCCAAGCTGGACCCTGGAGCTGCACAGGAGAGCATGGGGACATGAGCATCCCTTAGGGAAACCCATCTGCATCGGGAATGCGTGGACAGACCTTGGTTGGGGAACAAGAAGGAAGAGTAGAGGATGCACCCTGGCAGTGGGACACCATGACAAGAGGCATGGACTTGATGGGGAAGCCCCCAGGAGAAAACAGCTCTCCAGGCCTGGATGTGGCCACGGGACCCCACGTGCTGCAGCGCCAGGAAAAGGCTCTGTCCCTGCCTGGCACAAAGCTGGTGGCATCAGGAGCTGTGTCACCGAGGGAGGGCATGTCCCCGCTGCCTCCGGACCGCAGAAGCGCTGACGCAAGAGGACAGTTTGCCGCGGTGACATCGCCAACCCCGGAGAGCAGGAAGCCGTCACGGGCAGGGTGAGAAAAGCTGCCTTTCATCAGCCGCCCAGAAAAATCACCCCTAGGTCCTGCCGAACGCACGGCATGGCTGGGGAGGAGGAGGTTCCCCCCCAAGGATTTGTTATTAACTCGCCTCGGCTCAGCAGGAAGTTACCAACCTGCCAAATGTCACGCTCTGGAGAAGGTTCTCACTTCCCCCACTGCCGGGCTGACGCAGGCGGCCACCCAGAGAGCCAAAGGGGCTGGGACACGGTCCTGGCCACCTTCTCTCTTCATCCGGCTCCTTTCCTGGCTCCTCCGAGCCCCTGGGACACGCCACGCCAAGCCTGCACCCCTGCCCCGGGGACACGTCGGTTCCTGGACCAGGCACCAGCAGCTGGCTCCTGGTGGGTGGCCAAGCCGGGGCAAGTGGGTCCTCTCAGTGCTAATTGCTGAAGGAGCTATCGCTGAGCTTAGAGTGCTAATTACTGACCCTGTGCAGGATTTGGCCCTGCCCAGAGCAAAACCAGCTGGGCTAGATTCCTGCAGCCAGGCACAGAGGCGACACCAGGCAGGAGAGCTCACGCCACTGCCGGGGACGTCCCTGCGAGCCCCGGGCTGTCCCCACGCCACCCGGGCGTCACATCCTTCCTTCTCCCCATCCTGCACCCTCTGCCTTGATCACACAGTGCCTGAAGGTCCCCAACGGGACAAGCTGTCCCCAAAGCTTCTGGGCAGCAGCCCCTGTGGCTCAGACCAGCACAGACCATGGTCCCCGGGTTGTGGGGACACCGCAGGGCTCAGCCCAGGGCCAGGACAACCCTCTGGGCTGTGACACACATCGACACAAACAGGCAGTGAAGCTTTTTCAGCCTCTAACCTCTGCAGGTGCAGAGGGGGTTGATGAAACGCCAGGAAGGAGCTGTAGGAGTTTATGGGGAAAGGTTTGGGGAGCAGATGGACGCTGAAAGCGAGACATCCCAAAGATTCCCCCATGGAGGCTTCTGGCACACAGCAGGGTACCACCCCCACCCTGCCCGGAGCTGAAGCACGAAGCAGTTTGACCCCTCAGAACCGAAGCCAGCTCTCCTACCATCTCCGTGTCCACACAGGGAGCCCGAGAAAGTGAAAGGGTGAGGACCCAGCTCGTTAGCCGGGAGATGCTCCCAACCCTCTTTCCCAAAAGAGCAAAAACAGCGCATCCGTCCCAGCGGCACGGGATGCCCAACCCTCCAGGGGAGCCGAGCGAGGCAGGGCGGAGGGCCCAAATCCCCTCCTCAGCAAGGAATCAGTCCAGTCACGCACATCATAATCCTATTAATAGCATGACTCAGTTCCTAATACCTGCTGCTATTTACACAGGACTTAAATTTTGTAAGAGCTGCTCCGCTTGCTCAATGTCAGACCAGGGCCGGGGCAGGTGGCTGTGCCAGCCTGCAGAGATGTGCTTTTGGCAGCTTAGTTAGATGTTCGGTAAAAACGGTAGGGAAAAGAACCCAACAATTAGGTTTGCAGCATCACCGGGGCCGGTGTAAACACCGTTAGTCACTGCCCCGCGCCGGGTCAGGAACCGCTCCTGAGAAACCTCCAGCTTTTCCTCCTTTAGCTCTTCCCTCAAACATTTGCATTCGTGTGTCACCCTCCTCCTGCCAAAACAAGGTTTCCACAACAGAGGAGCCTGCGTGGGCAGCCGGAGGCAGCGGGGCCGCGGGGGGAGCGGGACGGGACGGGGCAGCCCCCGGGCAGACGGCGGTTGAGGGTAGAAAGTGCCCGGTTGGCAGGAGCCACGGGGCCAATGCCAGGGAAGGGTGTCCCCAGTTAAAATGCCAACCGCTGAATCCCAAGAACAGCATCGGAGAGGAGGGAGCTGCACCCCAAACTCGGGCTCTTTGGGTTAGCAAAGCCACTGGGAAAAGGGACCAGCTGGAAAATCCCAAAGGCTGATTCCTGCCGGCTGAAAGCCAACCCCTCTGTCCAAAACTGAGCCTTTTCAGGGGGAAAAGAGGAGAAAAAGGGCCCCTTGCAGCAGGGGACACGGATCGAAGGGTGTCAGTGGCCGGGAATGGAAATCCTGGATGGTGGCAGATGCCAGACAGCCCTGGCACCCTGAGTTGCAGCTCCTCGGGGGCACCGCTGGGAAACAAGCCGAGAAACGTGCTTTGCTTCGTGGCTGGAGCTTGGGGTGCACAAGCGTTCACCCCCTCTCCCCCACCAAAAACACAGCCCCGAGGGTGACAGCCAGGGCCACGCAAAACCCACCTGTGCCACCCCAAAAGCCTCCTTGTCACCAAACCCCACCAGCCCCACTCCCAGCCCAAATTTTTTCGCTGAACCCCAAAGACCGAGACCGAGGGGAAGGGCAGCGAGTGGAGGGGAAGGACCCGGAGCATCCGAAACCATCAGGAACAGGAGGATCCCCCAAAAACCCAGGGTGGGTTTTTTGGTGGAAAGGGATCACTGGGGATGAACAGAAGGCGGTGGTGGGGACGGAGCTCTACGTGGCCGTGGGGTGACCCCCGTGAGGTGGGGAGTGGGATGGGGGAGAAGGACCGAGCGCAGTTACCCACAGCGTCTCCCTCGGGGCCGGCCACTGCTGCTCCCCTTCGGCCGCCGAGCCCGGGCTCTGGCCTCGGCCGGGCCGGCTGCTCCTCTGCCCCCCTCTCTCTCATCCGTATAAAAACCCGACCGCGGAGAGGAAATGGCGAGGAGGAGTGGCCCACGGCAGCACTTCCTTCTCCCCGCGCCGCGGGACGGCCGCCGACAGCCGGTTTTCTCTCCCCCCTTCTTGCTCCAAGGCCCCCTCGGCGGCTGCCGTCACGGCGGCATCGTGCGAGGAATCACGAGTCCCGGGTGGCGGGACAGGGACGGGGCAGCGGGATGAGCTCATCGCCCTCTTGACCTCGAAAACCCCCAGTTTAGGCAAAAAGCTCCCCACCCTGCAGGGTGTAATTAGCCCGTCGCCGGGAAAGGTCAAAGCGATGATGCTGCTGCTGCCAGGAGAGGTTATCGGGGCTGACCCAGCGCCGGTGCAGCTCGGGGAGGAGGATTCTCCCTGGCAGGGAAAACAGGGAGAGTGAAAATAGAGCCAACGTGGGAAGAAATGGTGAGTCTGGAAAAAACCAGCAAGTCCAGAGCAGTTGATTTGTCCCACCCCCCCCGGGCTCCAGCTCCGCTGCCCCCGTCCACCCCGACCCCACTGCGGCTTTTGGCCCCTTCGCAGCCTCAGCACGGAGGGACGTGGGGACATCTGGGCCAGGCTGCACGGCCACTGAGGAACCGACCCCTGGAAGAGATGATGAACCTTCCCTCGGCCCTTCCCCCCCCCCCTGGCACCCCCCGCCTCCCACCTGCGCTCACACAACGCGGCTGAGGCTTTTCCCCAAAAAACAAGCCCATTTGGCAAAGCCAGAGCGGCTCCGAAGTGACCTCTTGCCCAGCAAAGTCCTACTTTTGGGGATAAAATCCCAGCTGGAACCTGCTCCTTGGGAAAGCAGCTCCCTGGGGTAAAAAATAGGGAGGTAAAAAAATACCAACAACCCAGTTTGGGGTGTTTTGGGGCATCGCAGCGCCCATCCCACTCTGGCTGCGACGCACACGGAGGTCCCCACGTCCCGAGGGGAAGGGGATGGTCTGAGCAGGGTCCCCCCAGCCTGGACCCACAAAGACACACCTCTGCTGCGGCCAGGGGGGGGATTTGCCTAACAAATCCTTGCAAATGTGGGGATTTTCTGTGTCACGAAGGCGCAAGAGCTCAGCTGGAGGGTGGCCACCAGCACGGGGCGGCTGGGGGCTGCTCCGGGGGTCGGGAAGCCCAGGAGGGCTGGCCCCATGCCGGAGGTCCACTCTGGAGGAGCTTGGCCAAGCATTTCAGCAACAGCTGTGAGAAGAGCTATTTTTCCAGCTTCAATTCAGATTTTTGCAAAGGAAGAGCTTCCCCCAAGCAGTGTGGTTGAAAACCATTTAAAAAAAATAATTTAAAAAAAAAAGCAGCAATGTCCTCCAAAAACCCTACAAGAAGCAATGAGAGGAGCAAGAAGCTCCGGGTCCTCACCCGAGGGTTGTTAGCAAACCAGAAAAAAAGGTATTGCTGTAACTGGGAAGGAAAATGAACCATCCCCATGTCCCAGGATGGGGACAGGGGGGTCGGGGGGCAGGAAGCCTCCAACACACAGCAGGAAACCAAGGGAGGGTGGAAGGAGGCTCGACGGGCGCCCGCAATGGGGTTTCTAAACCCCTCCCAAGCCATGGGGACAGAGAGAGATGCCGGGGGCCCACATATGCCACGTGGTCACGTATGCCACGTCCCCACCATTACCAGGAACTCGTCACCCTCTGCTCTGGCAGAGGGTGAGACCAGAGCAGAGGGTGATGAGCTCCTGGTTATGGTGGGGACGTGGGACTGACCCACGTGGGACCCGTGCAGAGCTGGAGGAGCTCCATGGCACATGGGGACAGGGACCCGAGTGGGGCAGCGTGGCCACCTTGTCCCTGTCCGACCTTGGGATGGGGACACACACAAGGACAGCAGTGGAGTGCCTGTGCGGGTGACAGGGTGATGCAGGGCTGGCACTTCCAGCTGGGGACACCATCATGGTGTCACCACCAACTGGCCTCCAAAATTATTATCTCAGTCGGGAGCAGCTGCCAAAAATGCCAGGGGAGTGCCCGGGGGGAGCAGGAGGACAGGGCAGGGGCATCGCTGGCACCCTGAGGTGTCCCACACAGGGACACCCCCTGGCATGGCCCATGGGGCAGGGGGGGACAGGGCCACGGGAAACAGCCCCTGCTCATGTTCCTGGCCGAAATACCACCCTGTGCTGCTGCTGCTGCCCCTGCCACGGCCCCGGGGTGGGGGCTGCGTCCCTCCCATGGGGCTTCAGGGACTTCTGACCCCCCAAAGTGGGGGGAGCAGACTGCTGTGCCACGGGGAGGGGACATCCTGGGGATGGGGGAAGACTTGCAGGCACTGAGGCAATGGGGGGGGGC